AAGATGATATAAACAAGTGCCACACAAGGGGTATGCGATAGACTTACCTCCACGTGGTGCACCATGGGCAACGTATACTCATACGGCAAAAAAGTCTATTAACCGGCAGTTGACTTCTGACTTCAAACTACCACGACCCCCTGGTTGTCATATTCGACCCCTTTCACAGTACTCACCTTACCTTTTTCTCTACCTTTGTGTCTGTCTGCCTATTTTACATCTGTGAATCGCTCTTCTGATCCCCACCCCTCGACTTTCTGGTACTTTGATGAACCTTCCCTCTGTGAAGCCCGAAGTCAGCTAAATGGCTAATGATATCTATCAAAACGCCTGCCATTTGAAATAAATAAATAAATAAGTGCCACACAAAGAAGATAGAATTGTGGAAGTGAGACAAAGGTGGTTTCTATCACAGCATCTATTGCAAGTTATTATTATTATTATTATTAAAGTACGCCAAAATCGGGTAGAGTTATCTCGTATTGCCTTAACTACAGTACCCGCGAATTATCTCAGAAATGTGTAGAACTACTGAATAAACACTGGAATAGGATAAGTAGTCTCATCTGTATAAATGAACACAAACGAGAAAATACACACAAGAAAACATGTATCAATGAAATGGAGTTTGAAAATGAGATATTCGATAACAAGAGAAATCGATAAGCAGCTTAAAGGCATAAGAAACGATCCAAGCAAAGGAAAGTGGAGCTGACCCAAAAAGGCTCCCCTTTATGGATTCCCAATTCATGGTCTCTGATTTGGAAGACGCCTATGGTGACCGCCAATCCACATGTTTGAGGAAACAGGAGACTATGAGGAGATGAAAAATCAATTTATATAGAGTATCAGCAATACTAAACGCTTATAGTGCGCTTACAAATTATACGAGCGCTTTGATCAAAAAACAAATCGGGTAACAAGTATTTGGATGGTTTTAGTAAAATGGCATGCAGGTCTGCTATCCCAAAGACATTAGCAAGGAGATATAGCGCATAAGTGCAAAGACTTGGCACTATGGAACCACAAGAAGCGAATTAGGAAGACTACGAGCTTAGGCTAGCTAAAGTCCCCCTAAAATATTAAAAAGTGAATTTTCAATAGTGAATGCACTGCTAAGGAGGACCAAAATATCAAATTTGAACTTCATATGAAGGCTTACAGGGTTTTCATTATCAGCTTGAGAAGCAGAACGTTGGCATTCTGAACGTAAGCGACGAAGGAAAGTGCGCGGATAGATCTTTCTATCAGCCCATACTACCAAAAGGTGAGCAACTGCTGAGCGAATTTGGTGAGACTGAACCATTGCTGCTTCACCAAAAGCCAGTGGGAGAACGGGCTCAAAGAGTTGGATAAATTGAGGAGCCCTTTCCATGGCATTAACAAGAACATCGTTTACAAGGTGTAAGAAAGCGAGCTTTTGTTCGGCAGGAGCAGTGTGAAATTCTTTACACCAGAGTTTAACTAATTCAGGAGCTAAGTGGCGATTCTTGATAAAGAACTGGGATGTCTTTTCGATCGACCTCTGAGTGTGATTTAGTGAACGAAGGCGATTTATTGATGTTTGTTCGAAAACGTCATCCATCTAGTATGGTAGGACTAAAAAATATGCGAATGCGATTAACTTGAAATAAACTTCTATATTAGCAAAACCTTAATACTGAAATAAAGATATATTTCTATTTATTAGAAGATAAAATGGTAAACATAATATCAAAAATACTTATACTCTTGGGAACAGTCGTACAAATGCAGGTAACAAACCAATATCCTAACTCGCCAATTGCATTCCTGTGTACTCATAAAAGACCTTGTAAACTGTATAGTCAAATTCAAATTCATTATATACAATATATACATAGATATATATATATATATATATATATATATATAATATTTAGATAAATGGATCCTGTAAGTTAAACAAAACCAAAATAAACACTTACGTTTCGGAATTTTTATGGAAATGATTGACTCCCCTAATATATGAGCCTTTCACTGATTTTTTAAGTAGAACTTGAAATCCGACTTTACTATGTAGTGCATTTTCAAATTGACAAGGCATTCAACTACGAGTAAATAGAAACATCAATAGCTACAGGTATTTACTTTGTATCTTAACAGTTGTATTTAATAATAACATATCCTAGTGGGTTTTCTAAATTAAGTAGGTCTGTCGTCTCTGAGTTTCAACTTATAATAGAAT